TGCTTGCTAGTTTAATTGCAGACCAGATGGTTGGCTCAAAGGGTCTTCTTACTGTGTTTCCATAGCACAGCACGGGAGAAGGGGACAGGTTGTAGTGGCCCTGGGAAGCGAACACAAACACCGTGGAGGAGGCGAGGCTCAGCATTTGGATAACTTCAACTACTCTGAGACTTTAATTAGCGTTCAAACTACACACAGGGCTCTCCTTTTATGTAGAAGGGCTTGTAGGTGTCTTTACATGAGTCTTCTGGGGAGCAGGGATGCTGCGGGAACTGGGAATCTTTTAGACAAGACAATGTCAAGGCTGAAAACAAAGCCATTTTTTAACTGTAGCAGTCCTCCCGGGTGGGAAGGGTCCCTCGCTCACTGACTGTTGAGCACTTAACTGCTTCTCCCAGTATCTCTGTGTGTCTCAGACTTTTTAATACCCTTAGTCATTTTTCTGCTTTTATCCTTTTCACCAGTTCACCCAGATTAAGTACTGACAACTGGCCTGCTAGTCAATAGGAAAGAATTAGTCAAATTGTGAAACTTAACAATTAGATTAGGAAACTTACTACATTCTCTGTGGGTACTTTGCAGCTATAAATAAGCTAAGCTGAACTGTATTCATTGCTAAATAAGTTAAAGACAGTATTATAGACATGTGTTGTTATACCTTAAAAAGTGAGTGTGGGATGCAGAGGTAAAATACAATGTATCTATAAAGTACGAAAGCCAAAACAAATTTGGGTGTGTTATCAAGCTTTTATTTTGCTTTTATTAGATTGGGCTATCTGATAGTTGCTAAACGTTCTGTAAGTAAATAAAATATGGAAGGATATACCAACTGTTGCTTGCCTGGCTTGTTTTTTAAGGCCGCCTACTTGGTATTAGATAACCAATTAGGAAGTTCATTCCTGGGGAAGACGGAATCTTCTGCTCTCAAAAGTCATCAATTGTTGACAGTTCTTCATCTAAGGGTGGGGCCTTGTGAGATCTCCCGATCTATGCTGGCAGGTCAGCTGGTGTTACTGTTTAGGTCTTGTTTAGGCAACTGTATTTCTGAGATTTCTCTGCCTGTGTGGAAAGCAAAATCTCATCACAGTCATCTTTGTGCCCCTCATCTGTGATGTTCTGAGTCTTAGATACAGAGGTTTGCTATAGGTATACCAGTTGGGGTTCGATGCATTTTGGCCAGGTGTGTGTGTGTGTGTGTGTGTGTAGAAAAGAGACCATGAATTTTAAGAGTGTTGAGGGACACATAAGAGTTGGAAGAAGGAAGAAGATAGAGAAAATAATGTAAATACAGTATCTATCTATCTATCTATCTATCTATCTATCTATCTATCTATCTATCATCTATCTATCTAAAAAAAGACTATAAATTTGAGAAGGAATAGTGACGAACACAGAAGAGGTGGTGGAAGAAGGAGAGAGGTAACAATTAAATACAACACACACACACACACACACACACACACACAGAGACTTGAAATTTAAAAATATTAGATAAGACATGCTTATAATTTTACTTGTGAATGTGATGCCTAATCATCAACTAGAGTACACTTATTCTACTACTGCTCTAGCAAGCTTTACTATCTCAGTTCCTCACTGCAAGAATTTACACACTTAGTTTGGAGGATCAGAGACGAGAATATTGACATCAAAATAGTTGGAGTTGGCAGAAGGAACATGGTAGTAAAGTTCTTGACTCAAGAGCAAGTGTAACTTAGATCCTCATAACTAGGCTCTGTTTAATGCTGGATAAAGGCTACGTATCCCAAAGGTGGTATTGCTCAAAGTCCCCTGCTAATAACTGCCTAGGAGTCTTATTAAGAACTTGACTTCTTTAGTTCTTCTTTTAGAGATTTTGATTGAATATACGTTGAATAGGACTAGTGAACTGTACTTCAAAAACAATTCCGGAAGCTCTTAGCAAGGTTTGTGAGTATAAGAACTTACAAAGAATTCAATAATTGATGCACACATTATAGCCCTAACACGTGAAGAGAAAGTTCAATCACTTGCCTTGTTCTTGGTTGAATATGGGGAAGGATGATTAAGTGACCCCACTTTATTTTTTTTCTATCAAGACAGCAGTGTCTAAAGGGGAGAGTTTGAATAGGCATTGGGTTCACTTGATGATACTGGTTCTACCTTGACAAATTGCCCGTTAAGACTAAGTAGGGTATAGCAAGTCATCTCCAACGAACACGAAAGATTGAAATTGCGACTGATGAGATTTGGATTTAAAGTGACACCACTCTTCCTCATAATCATTATCGAGGAAGGAGGAAGTGTTTGTAAAGAACAAGTTATAACTTGAGCACGTCCTGATCTGGAGGAATTTGCTATTACACTTCTCTATGCCGCTCTTGGTGCCGAACCTGGGCCTTCCGGCCTACTCACAAAGCACTGCACCATGGAGCTGTGATCCGAGCTCCACCGTCACGTTTCTGTTGTGGTTTTTAGACAAGGTTTCACTATGAAGCCTTAGATGTCCTTGAGCTCACTGCCTACACCATGCTGGCCTAGAACTCACGGAGACCCCCCTGCCTCTTCCTCCCCAGTACTGCTAATAGGTATGCACCACTTTTTAACACAGCGTTTAATATGATTAGCAACATCAGTGCAGGTATGGAACAGCACATGCTATTGTGTTCTCATTTTTCCTCAGTTCTAGAGTGGCTGAGCTGTTTCTATCTTATTATCCTAGAGGAAGAATGGCAAATAATATTATTCCTATTTGTATCACACAGCATTGAGGAATTATAAAAACATCTTTTGATTTTTCTTGAATATGTTTTCCACTGGTTACTGGATATTTCAGCCCCCATTCTTGGTAGCATTCTGGAGACTTTTTCTGTGAACTTGGATGACCTCCCATCCCCAGACCCAGGCTTTCAAGTCCTTACTTTTGTTGCCAGTGTGACTTTTATGCTTCTTCAGCCTTCTTACTTCATTGCTGCATGCTGGGTTTTGTTATAACTACAAACTTCTTCCAAAGTGCTGAATTCAGCTACCCTACTCTGTAATGTCTAAGCTTTATTCTTTCCATTTTTCCATTTACTCATCTTCCACATAGTTTCTGAGAGTTTTTAGTATTTCTTCTTTACTTCTCTCCGAGAAGTACTTTACCCTTCCAAACATTAACATTTCTGTCTTTACATACTACCAAGCTCAATATGTCAATATCCTTAACTGTCTTGTGTAGCATGAATTCTAATTGGTCTTAATAATAAGAACTTGGAGCCAGATATCAGGGTAAATGCTGAAAATCAGAAAGACCAAGGAGCAAGTCACAGCCACCTCTTACCTAGGGAGGAGGAAACAGGAAGTGATATGGCTGGATGGAGAGAGGAAGTGATAAAGTGAGGCTGAGATGGGAGCTCGGCCCCTTTTCAGCTGAGGAATTGTTGGCTCACTGGACTGCTTTCTACTGCAATGTTTCAAAGACGTTTATATATTCCATTAGATCCCTGGTTTTCGTCCTCTACCTCAGAAAATCATGTCTCCAACACTAAAGAAAACACATAAAGCATCATGAATACATTGACTTGTACTGCCTTTCAGTTGTAGTACCACCTCCTTATCTCCCTTGGCGTTGCCTCTGCCTGTAATTTGGAGTGTTCCTAATCTTGTCTCAAGGTTCTCATTCTTTTTTCACTTCCTCAAGTGATTCTCCACATGCTTTTTTAGAGATAAACTCTCTCACTGAATCTGTATTGGACTAGACTGGTTAGTCATAAAGCCCCAAGGACCTGCCTGTATCTACCCCAGCACAGGGATTATAGGTGCATGCCATTGCACCTGGATTTTTGATGTATGCGACAGGTCTTCATGCATGTGAGGCAAACACTTTAATGAGTGGTGCTCTGCACTTTACCTTATATTTCAAGAATATTGGATACATATTATCATATGTTCCTCTGAAGTGCTCTGTATTCTTGTCATTTGAACCTGCCTTCTCTTCAAGCATTTTTTTTAAAATTACTTCACTTATTATTGTTTTAGTTTCTCGTAGTTCAATCACACACCTCAAGAGGGTTTCTTATTATAACATTAGTTTCTCTCTGTATATGGAACACTTGGTTATGGCTATTCTCTGCCACAGCTTCCATCCAGATCACAGTTATTCCTCAACCAATCACTCCAACAGTTTTCTAATGCCCTCTTATCCTCTAGACTTGGAGACTTCTTATTCATGGTCCAATCAAGATGTCTTAAAATGTAAAGCTGTTTTCTAAACTCCTACAAAACCTTCCAGAGCCTTCCCACTGCACTAAAGATGATGGACTTTGGCTTCTAAGTGTCCCAGCACCACTACCCAGTCCAGTACTTACTCAGTTTTCCCATGAGTTCGAGGCTTTAGAAGCATGAAACTATTTTCTTGAATGAACTAGGGTACATATCACATCTAGGCTATTGTTTGTTCTATGTTTGTGGTGAGAAATATTGTCCCATCTCTGCATCAAAACTCACTTTCTTTGTGTCTTAGTCTAGAGGTATTCTGTCCCCCAGGGTGTTCTTATCATTCAACTTAGGCTAGGTGATTATGCCTTAATATTTTCCCAGCAATTAAAGCTTCCTTTTCTACTTCATTCTCATTTAGTTTAGTCTGGTTCAAGCAAAGACTTCTTAGTAAGAGTTAACATGCTTCTTGCCCATTACCATTACCATTATCTAATGCTCCATAGTCCCTGGGACAAGATATATGTTGTTTAAAGAACTCATAGAATGAGTATGTTTCCAGATGTGGGAAATGCTACACTAGACCAGAGGAAAGTGAGAAGATAGAAGGAAAAGTTTTTATGATGGGAGTTTTGCAATTACAGTGGGACATTAAATACCATTTGTCTCCTGAGCTGTTTGACATAAGAAAGTTTTACATGGACTTATGATTGGATACAAAAAGAATCACATAAGTACTTCCAGAAAGTGTTTTTGTGACATTTAAAATCTGTTTGCCTGGTGTCCTTGACTGAATGCCCCATTCTTCAACATAGATGTGCTCTTTGTCAAGACCCTTCCACTGCATCTCGATCCATATCACCGGAACACAGGCCACCGGAACACAGGCCACCAGAATACAGGCCACCGGAACACAGGCCACCAGTCAACGTTCAGTCCTACTGTCTGGAGAAGGGAGATTTAAGTGAGACAATTTGCTAGGATAGCAGAGCGAATCATTATAAGGTGACATTTTAAATCATCTACAGAATATTTTTCATACTATATTTTTTATTAAGGACACAATACATTTTCATAAAATACATTAATATAAGTGGATCTTTTTAGGTAAAGAGTAACAAGATAGTATTTGAAGACTCAAACAAGGTGAGTGGATATTTTTCATTGGTCTCGGATGACAAGATACTTTAGTTCCCTTTCCTCTAACCACACTAAATTGTAATATTTCTTCCATTTCAAACACCTTCATCAGACCTCCCTCCATACCTTCCAATTTCTTCCTCCCAAGGGGATGGTAGAACATATGTTTGAAAGAGTTTTATCCCTAACGCAATCCATGTGACCTCCATGTCTTCTAAAACGATTTCTGGTGGGAATGCTAGTGATTTTAGGGATCACATGTAATTTCCTGCTGAGCTGTTTAGCATGTGCAAATTACCATTTGACCTCCATAGTGACATATTTGTCATAGCAATTTTCACTTCTAGTGAAACAAGTTAAACTGCCACAGTAAAAGTGACTTGAAGCCGTAATTCTTCATACAGACCCTTTCACATGGATCTGCCACTATGTGTTCTGATACCTGGGCTTCAGATAGCTATTTTTATGTTGTTTTTAATAAGAAGCACAATATTTCCATAACTCATATTTGGAAAGGTTCCTAGTTTTGGAAGCAGATTATTAAAGCTGAGCATATGGAGGTCTTAAAGTAGAACCTTATGGGGGGAAAACAGTTGATCAAGGCTATTTTACAGCCCTGAAAAATTAAAAGCATGTAACATCATGGTAAAGCAGGCTCATTCTTTGTAGCGTTTTATAAGCTTGCAGTAGTGAACTTGTTTCTTGGGTAAGCTCATAGGCACATTGAAGCTCTCATGTCTTGCAAACAATCAGACTGTTTCCACGGCTTTCACTTTTTAGTTTGCTTAGGAGCTGTTAGTGCACTTTTAAAAGAGGAAGTTGGAATTCCAATAATTAACTCAGAGACAAAGTTTTAGAGAAAAGAGTGGTTAATTCTAACTAAACAGAACAGTGAAATAAAAATCTGATTGAAAGAACTTGTTTTATGCATATGTTAGGTCCAGCAAATCCAAAGACTTGCACTGGATTCAGATCCATTCACATGCCTTCACTTCTCTCCTCCATGGACTTGCCATTTTCTCAAAGGACTATAATCAGAAAATTCTATGATTTCAATGTGCATAATGACTGACTTTGTTCCCTCATCAAAATTTTCTGAGTTCCAGAAGCCAGCACTGTGATTTGCATTTGATATCCAAAGGCAAATAAGATTCTATTTCTTAAGTATTTTCAAGAGCAGAAGAAAATGCAAAAGTGTGTGAGAGACACCCCTGGGAGTGTATGTAAAGTGGAAGTACTCAACTTAGGCACCAATGGCAAAGGCCGCTAAGTTTGTATGTAGGAGCATTGTACTTTGCTGTGACTATATTTCATGACTTATATAGGGGGTTTCAAGTGATGGCTATGGAAAGATAAGCAGAACCCATTCCTATGAGCAGGAGGAAGTATTTTAATAACTGTCATCCAAACCTGCTTTGGGAATGGTGCTCTGAACAGAGGAGTGTAGAATGAAGTGAAGTGGTATAGTTAGTCTTGATTTTTAACCTGAGGAAATCTATAATCAACTAAGAGACATATCTCTCAGTGCTTCTACGAAAATATTTCTAGGAGGATTAACTGAGAGGAGAAAACCCTTCCCTAGAATGGAAGCACTAAGGCATCTCCTATCCAAGAACTAACAAGGCTGACACTGTGTACCTTGTAAGATCAGGGTGCTAGGTGGTAGACCATAGGGCATAGTTATAAACATGTCCAATAAAGTGTAGTCGTATAAATGTTAGCCAAATCAAGATGAACCTAGATAACAGGTTTCAAATCATTACTAAGTAGTAAGGGTTGCCAAGACTACCAAGGGTGCTAAAAGATACAGAGACTTGAAAATAAGATGCTTCCATCCTCATCTTGGTTCTTCGTCTAGTTAGATGAAACAATTTTGTTGCATGTGTTTGGCAGACAGGAGGATCATAGATGGTAATATTCAGCAACTGCCTTTAAGGAACTGTTAAATATCCTTGACTTTAAAACCACAGGTAAACAAGTTATGCATAAGGCTATCTCTAAAATATTGATATCAGAATTCTTCTCTTCAGAGATGTATAGACTATAACAAGGATCAGATCCTGGGAGATTCCAATATGTGTTTAATAAGCAGGTAAATTAGAAGTAGCAAGAATAAGAAAAAAGAAAAGAAAAATAGGGTCATACATAGAGGAAACGTCAAGACAAACTGCAATGACAGTAAAAAACAAAACAAAAAACAACAACAAGGATTTGTGAGGAAGAATCAGCTGAAGTTTGTCTTTAATTGTAGGAGATAGATTCAGGTCTCCTGGGTATACCTGAATTACAGGAAATCCCTACCATTATGTGTATTTTTTATTATTCACACATACCTGTGATGATATTTAATTTCTGTGTTAGGCATAGTAAGAGATTAACCAGAGCAACTATGAATCTTAGTAATCCTGTTACCTGTTTGTCCCTCTATTTATTTATCTTGAAATGATTTCCTGCTGACTTAAAGGACATACTTTGCAGCCTGTCTTTGGCATATCCAAATTGCAAACATCAATACTTCTGTACAGATAAAGTCACTTGAACACAAGCACTGTTTTACTTTGATAGTTGATCTGGTGACTAATGATTTCCAAGTTGTGGCCAGTGCTTTCGTTAGATTCCACTGCCGTGATAAACATGACTAAAATCAACTTGGGGAGCAAGGGTCTATTTCATCTTACAGTGTAGTCCATCGTGAACGGAAGGGAGGGCATGAAATCAATGCAGAAATACCAAGGTAGAACCCCAATCATATGCTGTGCAGGAAGGTTACTTACTGGATTGCTCCCCATGCCTTGCTCAGTCTGTTTTGTTTTTTAAATACAACTCAGAATCTGCTGTCCAGAGGGCACTGCCCACAGTTTGCCAGGCCCTTCCACATCAACCATTAATTGAGAAAAATTAATGGCCCTCTACTGGAGTCAATTTCTCACTTTTGGTTCCTCCATTCCAGAAGACTCCAGTTTGTATCAAGTTGACTAAAACCTTATCAACGCAATTGACCCCTTGTCAACTTGAAACACCAAAGCATTATTATTGAACATTAACCTCTACTTTCTTGTTTATCCCCAAGTTCTCAAATTAATACCAACACATCACAATCTAAAACATTCCAACTTTTAAAAGTACCAGTCTTTAAAAATTCAAATACTTTAAATTTTTTCATTCTCTTTAAAATACCAAACAGCTCTTTAAAAGTCCGAAGTTTTTCAACTGTAGGCCCCTGTAAAATAAGAAAAATAAATTTTATGTTTTCTTATTCCAAGAGGGAGGAACCAGCGCATAGTCACAAATCAAAGAAAAATATTACAAAACTGTGACAGTATAAATAGCTTCATGTCTGGCTTCTGGAACTAAAAATTTTCTGGGCTACAAAAGGCCTAGGCAACTCCACTTCTCCTGACCTGCCATTAACAGCATGCACAGCTTGTCTTGAAGATTCAGGCCATCTCAAATACACATATGCTGCTCTCCTTCATGGTTGTCTCATGGCATTGGTATCTCCAGTATGCTGTGGTCTCCACCTCATCGGAGGCTGCATACTCACCAGTGACCTCTCTCAGCCTTTCTTCAGGGACTTTAACCCAGCCACACAGTGCCAAGCCTCAGCTGTTCTCTGTGACCCCTTCTTGCCTTCAAAACCAACATCACCTGTGTAACTCTTACACAGAACTAAATTTGGCTACAAGCATGAGATGACCTTTTTCTTTATTACAGCTTCTGTGTTGACCCTGACAAAATACATCTCAGAAGATTTTACTTCAGTGATGCCGGACTTTTCTTTATCACAGCTGATTCTCCAGCCCTAGCTAACCAGAATCACATATTCTCAAATAAAAATATCACTTGATTGGCTGAGTGGAGTCTTTTCTCCCTTCTTAAATGTCACAAGTCAGATCTCCATTATCTGCATTTTCTTTCAGGTTCTTACAACAGTTCATTAAGCTCTGAACACTCTATGGCTTTTCCAGATGGAAGTACCAGAAATCCTTTACAGTCATCCCTCAAACAACATGGTCAGGTCTGTCACAACAGTATCTTGTGAATCCGTAATCAATTTATGTCTTGGTTAAGTTTCCACTTCTGTGATAAACATCGTACCCAGAAGAAACTTGAAGAGGAAGGGTTCATATCAGCTTACAGCTCTAGTCTATACTGAAGACAGGCCAGGCATTCAATGAAAGAAGGCTAGGGTGAGAAACTGAAGCAGAAGTCATGAAGGAACACTGTTCATGGTGTTCTCCATGGCTTTCACAGCTGCTTTTTCATAGCTTAGGACCAACTACCCAGATGTGGTAACACCCATGTTGGGCTGGGCCATCCCACATCAATCACTAATCAAGAAAATGCCTGCACAGACTTGCCTACAGAACAATCTATGGAGCATTTTCTTAATTGCGGTTTCCTCTTCCTGGATGACTCTAGCCTGTGTTAAGTTGACAAAGCACTAACCAGAAGAGCCAGACTGGTACTGTATAGAATGTGATACTATGGAAAGAGTAATGCTTCACCTTCAGTATATGATGGACTCTGACTATGATAAATTACTTCATATTTATGTAGGATGATTTGCTATTTAAAACTGGTGAATGGTTTATTTCTAGAATTTTTCTGTTTAGTAGGTCTGAACCAAATTGTTCAGAGGTAGTTGAAACCTTGAAAAGATCAACCACAAATTAGAGGGAGGCATTGTTTTGCTCATTTTAGCTGTATCTAGAGGTACCAAGTTATGGTGGAAAAGCCAGAAGGCAATAGAGTGAAGAAATACAGGCAAAGCGATGTTCAAAAATGCCTATAGAAACATGCTATTTAACAAGAAAATACGTCAGTAGTTTGAAAACAATGAAGGATTCATATGAGAAGTTCTTATGGTTATTTTGTGAAATGGTAATGATGGATAGGTTATCTTCAACTATTTGAGTGGGAAGGAAAGGAGACAGATAAAGCATTTCAGTATTAAGGAAAAAAACTGACTCCTTTACAAGGTAAGAAAGAATGTGCTTCATCTTGGAGAGACATTCATCTTAATGAGAAGAAACATTATCTTTCTTTGAGACTAAAAATATTTGGGAAAGGTGATAGACCAACATAGGCAAGTTCATGTGAGAGTATGTATGTGGCATGACATGAGCTCAAGGAATCATTTTAGATGATATTTGCCATTGTCTCAATGAAACCTGAGTAAGGGAATGAATGGACCAAGAAAGGCAGTGGTGAGCAGAGGGTAAGCAGCATGGGTAAATGTTTTAGAGTTGCTGTGAAAAATATAAGTAACAGCTCATGAAAAGAAATGCAAACCATGGGGCCTGCTGGGACTCAGTGCAGCATTTCATTATAAAGGACCCATCTGAGATCTGAGGTAAGGAAGGAAGGAAAGAGAGTGCTAGTGTAGATAACTTGGCATATGAACTCTTGAGGACAAGAGGAGCCTGGGAAGAGGCAGGAGATAACTGTGCTACCCTTGTAGCCTGTGTGCTATTAAAGGCTGGAGATGTAAAGAGAGGTGTGTGGGGCGGGGCAAGGATGTGGGTGAGACTGTTGGCAGTTTTGAATTGCCTCTGTGGTGGCTGGAAAAGGATTCAATTAACAGCATATAAAAATGAGGATTCTAACATGCTTCAGATTGGAAAGCATAAATGCGTAATGCCATCAATCTGCTTGTTCGTGTGTGTTTCTCTGTGTGTGGGTGTTTGTGCATGTGTGTATTTCTGTGTGCATGTGTGTGCATTTGTGTGTATCTCTCTCTCTCACTCAATCTCTCTTTCTCTGCATATGTGTGCATTTCTCTGTGTAGGTGTGTATGTGTGTGTATTTTCTTTGTGTGTGTATTTCTCTTTGTATTTATTTCTCTCTGTGTGTATGTGTGTGCATTTCTCTGTGTAGGTGTGTATGTGTGTGTATTTTCTTTGTGTGTGTATTTCTCTTTGTATTTATTTCTCTCTGTGTGTATGTGTGTGCATTTCTCTGTGTAGGTGTGCATGAACGTGTGTATTTCCTTCGTGTGTGTATGTGTGTGTGTGTGTATTTCTCTGTGTGTATGTTTCTGTGTGTATGTGTGTGATTCTCTGAGTATGTATGCATATTTACATATTTTAAAGATGATAAGATGTTGGTAGAAATTGAGAAGGGTTTGAACGTTTTGAGACATATGTAAGTAAACAAAGGCATAAGAGGTGAAAATTCTTTGATAGGGAAAGGAAGTAAAAATTAAGGCTGGACTCAAATGCATTTAAGCATGAGAATTGAAGTGGTTGCTTAATATTCTTTGAGTCCTAACAAAAATTAAGATAGTTCTTTCCTAAAACTTGAGAGGAATTTACACACTTCTATTCATGACTAATGGGTAGCTCAGTTATCCTTGAGGACAAGCATTGGGTGTTTCTGTTTGTATTAAAATGTGTAAAAGTCACATGCATAGAACAGATGATTAAAAATTGTGCTTTGAACAAATGCTATTCCCCAAATGATTCTTGCTATCTAATTATATTCTAAGAACAAACAATGAAAAGTTGTATATTGCAATTATTTCACATTTTTATTTCTTTACTCTTTCTCATAGGCATAGTTAATAAGAATGCGTTATAGCAGTGATCATATAGCAAGATGGTTGGGGGAGTGAGCTCTCCTGAAGTCTAGAGTGTTGATGACAAAAGCAGGGGAGGAAGAAGAAGAAACAAAATTTAAGCACAACTGTGCATGAAGTCAGGTTGAATAAATTGCCTTATAGTAAAAAGAATCGTTTATACTTAAATAAAAATAATAGGTTGAAATTAAAAGATGGGGACGAAAGGAATGATGGCCATCATGTCAGAAGTGAATGAAAATGACCCAGTGCTTTGCACTATCTTTACTCATCAAATGAGACTTCGAATCTCCTGGTACACCTGAACCAGAAACTCAGATCTTCAGAATAAGATAAGGTTTGGAATTCCTGTGGCGCCCAGTCTTGGACTTCTCTAAGAAGTCTCTGTCTACATGATTGACAAATCTTCTAAGTAGTATATTATTACCACTCTCATTAAAATGAAAAACAACCATTATTTTTGGCTTATGGTACCCAAACAACAAGATGTTGGCTCATTGAACCAAAATAAATCATCAGCAATGATTCTATTGCCTGTTTCTTTTCACTGCATACTTTATAAGGTCTCTTTTCAGCAAACTAGAAAAAGCATATCTTACAAGTCTTGATGCTACGAGCAAAAGCTGAGATAGTTTGTGTTATTTTCTACACAGTAAATAAACTGGGACTGTTCTAGTTCACATGTGTGGCAGGGTTCACTCTGGACCATCCAGGCCTTCTTTCCAATAACATGATCTCCGGCCTTCACCAGGCATGGAACTAATTCTTCTGTAAAGAACGGCAGAATACAGAAAACAGCAGCGAAAGAAGCCAAACAATACAGTGAACCCAATTAAGGCTGCTCTTTTGCATGCGCAAAACACACACATGGTATGTTTTAAGAGATTATGTCTCTGAGTCAAGAGTAATCCTTTCTTTAAAAAAAAAGAAATTAAAATAAAACTAGAATTTGATGGGCAAGAGTTGTCATTATTTAGGTATGTACCTTTAACTATGTATTTTCTATAATAGAATCTTTGTAACATGTTTCAGAATTATATGGTCAATTAAATGCTTAAGTATCTAAAGCCTGGTCAAATTTTAATTGTAAATCTATAACCCAGTGAGTTAACCAGATGTATAGTTCTCATTTTTTCCTTTGCTGGACTTATGTGAAACTTAAACAATGTCAAATGTGGAATATTCTCAGCATTAATTGATAACTTAGTAATAAATTGCAGATTGCATTTCAAACATTATAATTGCTTTTTGGATTAAAAAAGAAGTTACTTGTAGTATAATGAATTTGACAAACATGTGAGAGCATATTTTTGTGTCAATCTGATTGTTTCGGTTGAACTTTGAAACTTGCCATTATACATGTTTTGAGAATAGTTAATTGGTTGCATTTGAAGTTTTTATAACGTGAGAGACTGTAACTAACCTTCTACACACAGTTGATGTGAAAGAGCACCTTGCTGTATTACTTCAGAACATGTTCACCAAGAACTATGTGCTAGAGCTGGCAGGCAGCAAGATTTGGGGTCACTATAGAAAAATAAGAGCTCAAAGGGGATGTTTGTAGCTTTTGAAAAACTGATCTTGAAGGTGGGGAAAAGATATACTTAAAAAAAAAAAAAAACAGGAGTAACAACAGATTTATGTGGATAGTGGCGATTTGTCCACAAGTGTACAAACATCTTCTTAGAATCTCTGTTTTTGTTTCTTTTATTTGGGTAGATGACCAGAAGTAGGATTGATGATGTATCAGGACAATTCTGTGTTTAGTGTTTGTAAGCATCAGTATGCTATACCGTGTTGTATTCTTGCTAGTAATGCACAAAGATTCCAATTTCTCTATATCCTGGGAAAATGTTGGTAACTTTTGAAACATTTGCTAATCTAATATGTTGAGCAAACTTTCATGTGCACATCGGCTATTTATTTATCTTCTTTGGAAAAATGTCCATTACAGTCTTTTGTCCACATTTAAACTGGGTTATTTCCCTTATTCCTTATGTGATTATCTCCTATTTAATGGGTCTTCTTTCAATTCCAGTGACAGTACCTTTTGATGTGCCAAATATTATTTTTTATTTCGATGAAATTGAATTTATTGTGTTTTTATTTGCTTCTCATACTTTGCTACATATTTCCAAGAAAGTATTACTAACTTCAGCATCATGAAGGCTTCCCCTTATGTCTTCTGAGAGATGTGGGGTTTGACCTCTTGTATTTACTCTTTTGGCCCATTTTTTGACTTTCATTTATACATAGTATGAGGC